AGGATATGTCCCTTGTATACGGCAATAACTACAAAAAAAAAGTAATTAAGTTAGTGGGAAGGATATGAGTGTATCAAAAGAAGAGATAAAACTCAATTACATTGCACGGAATTCTATCCTTTTCTGTGAATACCAATTGCACGGGGGAGATCTCTGGGAGCTTCCTACGTACATGCCAACTTCCTTAACTCCCTCCAGTCGTACAGGTGTCGTGGTGGCCCATCTAGTCTGGCCAGTTTGCTGGCGCCACCGAGGACACTTGAAACGCATGATTTCTGCCGTGACCAATGATACTTTTCAGAGGCCTCTTCCCATCACCAAGCCTTATGCCGTAAGACTACACGTAGACGGAGCATGAAATGCTGAAGACAAACATAAGTGCTTCATCTTGGATAGCTGGCACCGGAGCGAGGCTTCAGTTATGCAGAGGGCACGTGTCTTCCCAACCCCAAGAATAGCACCTGTATCATTGCATGAGGAACACTTTTGCTATCGCCCGCCACTCATGTACCGTATGAAGGCCTAATTAGTAATGCTGGGGAAGAAGCTATTGGTGATGGAAGATAAGGGCGGAACTGACTCAACCCACGTCATTTCCTGGTGCTGAACATGCCCCCCACTAAACCGTGAGCTAAGTGAGGCAAGTCGAGGCAAGGGTCCTTGCTATTGCTCTCTGGGAACAATCAGCACGACCTCGCATTGAATGTCAGCCCTCCACATGAATCTCTGAAACTCCAAAGAAAGGTCTCCTTGTCCCAGCAATGGCGCAATAGGTGGCTTCCTCCAGCAGACAAAAACGCCCGGGAATCGCACCCGACATTCCTCCTCCCTCCCGCCGATGATCTCCGTCTCGACACCATGGATCAATCGCCTGGGACCTGGAGCATCCAGGCTCCAGCGCCCGAGAAGTCGAGCGAGCTGTATATTCGCGACCACCCGCACCGATCGATCGCCATTGTCTCCTCGTCCCATGCCCTCATCCTGCGCTATAGCTCGTCCTCGAGCGAGTTCGCTCCCAATGGCTCCCACGCCTCTCTCCACTCGAACCGCGGCCGGAACGGCGCGGGTGATTCCACGTCGGCCAAGTGCATGGTGGAATTCACACCCGTCACACAGAAACTCCTCAAAGACTACCGCCCCCTCTCTCACCGACCGGTATACGGGACCTTGGGCCTCATCGCTGTGAATGGGGAGGTCTTCCTGTCCATCATCACCCAAGCCGCGAGGGTTGCAAGCGTGCGCCCAGGCGAGACGGTTGAACAGATCGGGGGCGTGGCCTTCTACTGCCTCAGCAGCGCCGATTACGATGATGTTGTTCCTCTGGACGCTGTCGAGCCTGAAATGTCGGATGCGGTCTCTACCTACGCCCAGAACTCGCCGTACGGGCAGAACTTGAGCAGGCGAGATGTTCTCCCTGAGCATCCATGCCATGAGCTACGAAAGCTTTTAAGCAATGGCTCCTTCTATTACAGCACAGACTTTGATGTTACCAACCGTATGCAAGACAGGTAAGGAGGTAAATCCGTCTCTGTACTGGGAGCAGCTTGAGGGCTAACCGTTCGCTGCCCAGGCCAATGAACTCAGACTCTTTCGAGATTGACAACTTTGATGATGCGTTCCTCTGGAACTCCTACATGATTAAGCCCCTGGTGAAGTTTCGTTCCAGGTTAATGTCACAAGAGCGTGAGGCGCTTGATGCTTCGCGAATTCTGACCTCGGCATTCCGAGGTTTTTGTAAGACAATGACTATACCTCAGAGCTCGTCACCGCTCAGAGCCAAGACGGGTATGCCTTCATACCTGACGCTCACGTCCCGCCTTTCTTGCCGTCGAGCGGGAACACGTTTCAATTCTCGTGGCATAGACGACGACGGCCATGTGGCAAACTTTGTGGAAACGGAGACAACATTCTGGTCACCAGCCGGGGTGGCCTTTTCGTACGCGCAAATTCGAGGCTCGGTGCCCGTCTTTTGGGAGCAAGCCGCGGACCTTATTCCGGGCCGGCAGAAGATAACTGTAACGAGGTCTCCGGAAGGCGCCCAGCCAGCATTCAACAAGCACTTTGACGAGCTCGAACATACGTACGGTGCCGTGCACGTAATAAATCTCCTGAGTGAAACCAAGCCTGGAGAAGTGGAGTTGAGTAATCTCTACCGCAATGGACTTCGACACTGTCCTTTGACCCGACCGAGCCCAGATGGTTCGGTAGATCACGCCTTGCTGCGAGATACCCAGTATGATTTTCACGCGGAAACGAAGGGCCCCGCAGGGTATGAGGCGGCAAAGGATATCAGGCGATATATTGAGCACTCAACGGATGGCTTCGCATACTTTCTAGCTGAACAGGCCAACGACTCGTCGAATGATCTTGACGGTCTCTCAAAGTCCCGGATGGTGGTCATCCTCCAGCAAGAGGGCGTGTTCCGCACCAACTGCCTGGATTGTCTGGATCGTACCAATTTGATACAGAGCATCATCTCCCAGATGGCCGTTGAAGCATTTTTAGGACACAGGGGCGAATATGCGGCAGCCGATTTCTGGATGCGACACTCGAGCCTTTGGGCTGACAACGGAGACTCACTCTCCAAGATTTACGCCGGGACTGGTGCATTGAAATCGTCATTCACACGACATGGGAAAATGTCGCTCGCCGGAGCCGTTGCCGACGTGCGAAAGTCTGTGCAGCGTATTTACCACAACAACTTCCTCGACCCGTCCCGTCAGATCACTATTGACATGCTACTGGGGCGTCTTGTCGGGCAAGCTCCAGTCTATTTATTCGACCCCGTCAGTGACTATGTCTCCGCGGAGCTGGGCAAGAGAAGTGAAGAGTACACATCTTTCCGGTCTATAAGCATGTGGGTTGGCACCTTCAATCTCAATGGGCGTACAGAAGGCGCAGATGAAGACCTCTCCCCGTGGCTGTTCCCACCAGCCATGGGATCAACGCAGCCAGACGTGTACGCTGTAGGGTTCCAGGAGATCGTCGAACTTAGCCCTCAACAGATCATGAATAGCGACCCGACTCGGAAGCAACTCTGGGAACAGGCTGTCAGGAACACACTTAATCGCCGCCAGGCGGCACTGGGAGGAGAAAAGTATGTGCTCCTGCGAAGCGAACAGCTGGTTGGAGCCGCACTTTGCGTCTTCGTAAAGACGTCGTCGCTGGGGAAAATAAAGAACGTTGAAGGCAGCGTCAAAAAGACGGGAATGTCTGGCATGGCTGGCAACAAGGGAGCGGTCGCTGTTCGGTTTGACTATGCTAATACCCAGATTTGCTTTGTCACGGCACATCTTGCGGCGGGTTTCGCCAACTACGACGAAAGAAACCGAGACTACGCGACGATCCATCATGGTCTACGGTTTCAGCGTAACCGAAGTATTGATGATCATGGTAAGTGTTGCTAGAGAGAGTGCATGCGAGGTGCAGTCTTCATTCTAGTGCTAACGACCGTCACAGATGCCGTTATATGGTTGGGAGACTTCAACTACCGCATTGGACTCACCTCAGAAACTGCTCGTTCTCTCGTCCAAAGAGGTGATCTCGAGACGCTTTATGAAAATGACCAGCTGAACTTGCAGATGGTTGCAGGGCTGGCCTTCCCATTCTACTCCGAGGCAAGGATCACCTTCTTGCCGACATACAAATTCGATATTGGGACAGATACATATGACACTTCGTAAGATTCCCAGAACTTATATTTTACAAAAAATCACTCGGTCCTTGAAAATTCTAACCCAATCTCTACAGGGAAAAGGCTCGTATCCCTGCTTGGACAGACCGCATCCTGCGCAAGGGGCCCAACCTGCGTCAGAATCTATACAACTGCGCACCCTTGAAGTTCTCGGACCATCGGCCAGTGTACGCCACTTTCGATTGCAGAGTGAGCATCATTGATGAGCCGAAGCGAGAGGCCATCAGCCAGCAACTTTATAGCAAACGAATTGCGGACGTGGGAGATGCGGTTCACATTGCAGAGGGCGACGAGACGGAGGATGAGGATCTCATTGGCTACGATGCCATCGAGCCTGGGCTGCCGCCAGCGAGCTCCGATCGGCAGAAGTGGTGGCTGGACAAGCAACAGCCAGCCCGCGCCCAAGTAACTGCTCCCGAGGGAAGAGACGGCCAGCCAATGGTTCTCAATCCTCACCGTCCTTCAAACCCATTCGGTCACAATGAAGAGCAAGATTGGATATCAATATCCCGCTCCTCATCCAGGGCATCACTGACGAGCCTGTCAAGTTCACCATTTGAGAAGGTGATGGTGCCCAGCATGATCAATAGTTCCGCATCCAGCATCGCACCAAGGAAGGTTCCTCCCGTCGGCAGCTACGAGAATGGCAGCCTGGCCGCGAAAGTGGGACGGATGAACTTGGCCAGTGATCAAGACGTGCGGGCCGGGGGTGTTCCTCCACAACTACCGCCTCGGAGGCAGACGGGAGACTTGACTCCGGACTCACCATCCGTCCTCAACGCAGCAGGAGGTCCTAGATCAGGATCAGGAATGCCGGCAGGTCTCCAGGCGCCTCTGCGACCCACCTCGGCCGCGTCTTCATTCTCATCGACGCAAGGGAATTATGCATCAACACAACCTACCGGGGGCAAACAGCCGCCGCCCGTGGCTAAGAAACCGGCCTACCTCACCAGCCCCGTGCTCTCAGACCCCTCATCTAACGGGGCCGCCGGTGCGAACAACGGGTTCGCCGCACCCTTACAAAAGTCACGAACGATGCCGGTAGCTGCGTCTGGCAGAAAACAGGGCCCAGTATTGCCTCCGGGCCGGGGGAGTGGATCGATGGCCGGGCCGTCCCAGAAGAACCCCGGGCAACATCAACAACAAGGCCCCATGGATTTACTCGACGATCCCAGTCAAGATCTCTTGGGCGGATGGGAAGCATTGCAGCCAACCTCTGGCACGGGGCGGTAGGTTGAACAGATGAAGGGAATACCAGCCCCTGGCGGGACCATGGATTCTACTCGTAACGACAGCGGGGCAGGAAGAGGCGGGAAGCACGGCGTTTTGGATGAGATTGGGATCACAGGATGGCCCGAGAGTACATGTTGGATATCACATATCAGGCTTTAGAGGTAGGAAGTCTAGCGGTATACGGAGGGAAGGCAAAAACACCTGGGGCCCTGGAGCGATGGCAAAAAGGAAGTTGGTCTAAGATATATTGGAATATTCTCCCTAGCTATCTTCGTGCATGGAGTTTATGATTTACAGCCAAAACCAATGAGAATTAGCGATCACACTGCCAAAGCACATAGATACACGACGTGAGTACCGCTCGAAGGAGGGCCCGTGGGTGATCAGCGTCTCGACCAGCACATCATGCCCGGAATAGGCGCTTACCCTGCAGGCGCCTAGGCCATGGCGCACCAAGTCGGTTCCACCAAGAGAGGAGCATTGTCTGGCCTCGGTGACGGAAGAATAAAGTTGACACCAGATCCTCCTGGGTAGGACGAGGCGGCCTGTGCTGACCAGCCCACGGCAAGTTTCGCGCGCTGTGACACGCGCCCGGGCAACAAAGTTCCATCTGGGCGTGCAGCTTGTGTCAGGCCGCCAGCGCCTTGACCCGGGTCTAGGCCCTCGATAGGCCCCCTGGGCCCCCAATCACGAGGCGGGCACGATAACACGCAATACCTGCCTGCCTGCGGGCTTCAGAGGATGCCAGTGTACCTGGGTCCGTCCTGTTTGCCTGTCAATCTGTCCAATGCACACACAGAGGCTCGACTGCCGAGTCATGGCCATGGCGGGCGGTCACGGACCAGGGCCAGGGCCAGAACTAGGGACTTGGACCTCCTGCTCGCCGAGGGCTCCCCACCCCCACAGATCCACTCATCCGCTGGAGTGAGGCGGTCTCCGGCCGTCGACGAGGAGGGGAGGAGGAGAAGGAGGAATCTGTGGGCTGAGACTGGTCAAATCACGGCCAAGCAAGCTGACTGGATGGGCTGCACAGATTATGGAGGCATCCTGTTGTACATCTGTGCATGAACCCGCCCATGTCACCGTAGCGCGCTGCATGACTGGCCCTCTTCCTCCAGCAACCCTGTACCGCCTCTGCCCATCCTTGCAGCGAAGCCGGACCACGGCAACAAAACGACAGTGACAGTCCCCAAGGCGAAAAACTCCCATCATCAGACCCGGACACGCGGCGCCAGCGTTGGTGCGTTCCCTAACGCCCAAGGTTTCTGCCTTCCTCCCATCCCACCCTGCCTTCATCGCGTGCCACCTGTTCCCGCTAGCCAAGGTAGTTAGTGTATGTAGTTGCGCTTGGGCTTGGCTTTGACCTCGCCGTCCCCATTGAAACCCTCGATGGAGGCTTGTACAGAGTAGTAATAGTCTGGGCTGGCGCGCTCCCACAGGCCGCCTCTTGTGTCTCACGGCTTCAACCCGGCCTGATAACCCATCTCCCTCCCGCCTTCTTTCCCCGAACCCCAATGCAAAAACTCGCCTCACTGCCGCTTGAATCTGACACAGCCGTGCCCGTCTTTTTGCTCGTGCGAGCCTGACCCCGTCCAATGCCCAGTGTGTGCACAGCATAGGCCTGCCCCAGCTGCCCTCGTGACCCCCTCTGCAAGTCTTTATCGTGGGTGGTTTCACTGGGTGCCCGCCCAGCAGTATCAAACGACCACTAGGTAACGGCGCGCGGGCGAATAATCCACCACCACCACCACCGTCTATCACTGACAAGTACCAACTCGCCCATCGCCCCGACCGTCATAACCGCCAAACCTCCCTCTCACGCCGTCAATCTATCCATCAATCACTCACCCATCGGCTCGAGTGAATATCCGCGCGTCCAGACTGCCGCCCAGTGCACACGCCAACTACGCTACTTTTGACAGTCCAGGCTCTGTCCAGGGCGAGATCGCCACGCACTAACACGCATCCCCACCTCGCAATCACCAGTATATCAGTATCGGCCAATCCGTGAGAACCCCAGGCACAGGAACCAGCTCGCTCTAATTTCCCCCCAAGCTGGAATCCTTCTCTTATACCTCGTCTTTCCCAATTCCAGGAGGGATTTGACAACAGTCGACGTCCTTCTCTCTCTGGGCCAAACTTTCTGATCTGCAGTGGCTTTGCGTTGGCATTCATGCATATGAATTGCGCCCCTTTGCCACATCGGATCTAAACAAACATCCATCGCCTTGTCACGCTGCTGCTGCCGCTCTCTCGATACTCGTCCTAGAGGATCCCCCCCCGAAATCTCGCGACCAAAACTCTGATCCGGGGAGCCCACTCATTGTTTCGCAACATCGGAGACTTGGAGCTGGCAAAAGCTTGCCCAGGAAGCGAACACCGTCTCAACCTTAAAAATCCCTGCAGCACCTTAAACAACAGCCATCCTTGGGGCCCAGCTAAAAGGGACACCCTCAATTCCAATTCCTCAGCTTTCACAAGCGACAGAAAAGAAAGGGGGAAACAACAAACACAATCGTTTCTGTACCCCATCATCTCATCCTCCAGTCCTTCTCTATAATACCCACATCCGCCAAAATGGACCAGACCGACGCCGACCTCCCACCCCCCATGTCCCGCGTCAAGCATAACCGCATCGACATCTGGCGCAACGAGGTCGCGGCCCTCACCCTCGACACGGCCGTCGACACGACCGACGACCCAGCGGGCCACTCCCCGCCTCCCTCCTCCGCCATCTCCTCCGCCTCCTCCTCCAGCAGCTTCCTCTCCCTCTCCTCCCCCGCCGCCTCGAGGGGCCGCCGCTTCTGGCGCCGCCTAAGCCACCGCCTCACGGGGAGGCCCCTCGACCCCTCGCCCCCCGACGTCGCCAGGACGGACATGTACCGCACGGAGCAGTCGCTGTCCTCCCCTCGCCATAACCCCCCGAAAGACCTGGGCAGGAGGGGACGGGCAGAGGCAGACGCCTTAGGCGAGGAGAGCAGCCGTGACGGGCTCCAGGGCGCGCTGGGCGCCAAGCAGGACCGGCTCGAGCGGGCGGCGAGGCTACTCGAGGAGGGTCCCGTCCGGGAATGAAGTAGACGGGATCTCTCTCTGATGGGGGGAGGAATACACACCCGTCTTTAATGTCTTATTTTACGCATCTAATGAACTGAGCAATGAGGAATATATACACACACATAGGGCCGGTATAGTTGGCAGGGGCGAAATAAACTTGATTCCCTCTTTTTTTCTACGTTTATTTTGCACGTATACGTTGTTGTTGCCTTTGGCTGGAGTATATATGCTGCCTTTACCTACGTCAAAGTACATAATATAAAGTTACCTAATCCCCGATGGAGGGGTGGATATTTTGGATCAAGCACAGCACGTTTTGTGAATAAGTGTATCATTCAGTATTGATTTTTTTATTAATTTAAAGCCATCTCAGCCGTTCCAAGGAACTCTGTCCGTGTTGTCCGCGGCGATACAAAGAACAAAGTAACGATCCACAGGAACAAGCTACAGAAAACTAACTAGGAGGTTTCTGACCATTGTGTGCGAACCATGTTGTGCCTTGAAAGCGTTGGGGACGAGCTCTTGCAGACACAAGAGCAAGGCTATCTTCTGCCAAATGGGCTGAGATGTGCTTGACTGCTTCTTCATTGACGTGATGAGACGAAACGGTATGACAGGTAAGGAAAAGGGTAAAAAAAGAAAAGACGACAGCAATAGTAGAAAACATCTCCATGGCAATTCAGTGAGAACCGAAAAGAAAAGAGAACATCGTGAGGGTAGACAAGCGAGAGATAAAGAGGCGCGCGAGATGGAGGCATTCTTGCGATTATCTGTCGGTCCAGAGAAACCATCCATTCCACCACCGTTGGCAGTGAAACCGGTCCGTCTCCTGTCCCAAGTTAAAGCAACAAACGTGAAGAATCAAATCCACGCCGCAAACCAATTTTCCCACAAAACTCCCCCCGATCCAAATCATTTCGCATCCCCTCCTGCCATTACAGCAACGCACCGCGTAGAGGGACTAGTATATTAGCTAGCCAGCCAGCCAGCGTTGGAAGACGTGACCCAGCCACCCCTTGTCCAAAAGGCGAACAGAGTGTCGGAAAAGGGAGGCATCTCGGTTTCCAACCTGCCCGAGACGCCTTTGGTATCAGGAAAGAAGTAGGGACAATTGTTTTAGGAGGCAGCGGCGGGAGCGGGCTGCTCCTCGGCCGGCTTGGTCTCCTCCTCAGCAGGCTTGGGTGCCTCAGCCTCCTCCTTCTTGGCGCCGTCAGCAGCCTGGGCCTCAGCATCGCCGCTATCGGACGAGGTCCAGAGGGTGAGGTTGTCGCGCAACAGTTGCATGATAAGGGTGCTGTCGCGGTAGGATTCCTCAGAGAGCGAGTCGAGCTCGGCAATAGCATCATCAAATGCCTGCTTGGCCAGGTGGCAAGCACGGTCGGGGGAGTTCAGGATCTCGTAGTAGAACACAGAGAAGTTCAGGGCAAGACCGAGACGGATGGGGTGGGTGGGGGTAAGCTCAGTCTGGGCAACGTCGGTGGCACTCTGTGTAGAGGTGTCAGTCGAGACCAAAGAAATTGGCTCAAGTGGAAGGGGATGGTGTATGGGCTTAAGGGTATGGATTTTACCTTGTAGGCCTCGTGGGCCGCAGTGGCAGCGACCTTGCGCTTCTCACCGGAGGCAAACTCGGCAAGGTAACGGTGGTAGTCACCCTTCCTGATGAATGGGGAAAAAAGGGAAAGCGTCAGCCAAACCAAATGATTCATCGATCACAAAACGCACGGCCAAGGCTCTTCACGAGGAATTCCATTGCCGAGAAAGAAAAGAAAAAGAAGAAAAGAAGAAAAGAAAAGAAAAACAATAACAAAGCAAACAATGAACTCACATCTTGTGGTAGAAGACCTTAGACTCGCCGGTGGCGGCGTTGGGGATAAGGCTGTCGTCGAGGACGTCGAGAACATCCTGGCAAACCTTCTCGAGCTCCTCCTCGATCTTGATGCGGTACTCCTTGATGGTGGAAACATGCTTGTCGGATCCCTTAGTCTCCTCCTTCTGCTCGATGGAGGAGATGATACGCCATGAAGCACGGCGGGTACCGACGACGTTCTTGTAGGCGACGCTGAGAAGGTTGCGCTCGTCAACGGTGAGCTCACCGCCGAGCTTGGCAACCTCCTTCATGTAGGTAACCATTTCATCGTAACGCTCGGCCTGCTCGCAGAGGCGGGCGAGGAAGGTCTTGCTGTAGAATCGAGGGCACACGGTCAGACTTGGTTCGGTTTCAAATGCGAGCAAAGTTGGGCGGGGTCAAGGGGCTTCTGGATGTCAGGAACACAAACAAACCTTTCACGCTAGATAAGGAACAAACGGGTTAGCCTCGAAATATCTCGAATAAGAAGAGTAGAAGAAAAAAAAGAGTGAAATGATGCAAATTCTCGCGTGCCAAAACACCAAGAAACTGCAAGCGCCGCGTATGGGGCGTGCGTCTGACAGTTTCTGCTGGCGCAGAGGTGCTGAGGGGCTGCGAAGAAATGAGGGCAGGCAGCACAGGATGGGCGGATCAAAGGGCAACAGCAGGGGCGAAGAAAAAACAAGCTTACCTCGGTCGCCATTTCGAAAGAGATGCGAGTACTGGGAAGAGATATAGAGATCGTGGGATAGGGAAGGCTGGAAGTGGGATGGCAGTGAGTCGTGGAGGAGGAGTTTTGTTGCGAAGAAGTGCGGGAGGGCGGCGTGTGTGAGGCGTTGAGAATGGGCTGTGTTTATATTTTGGCTTGGGGTTTCGATGGAAGGCTTTGGGGGGGGTGGAGGGGGAGGGGGTCCGCGGCCCAGTGCAGACAATGGAAATTGGGCGAAAAGCGCAGGGTAGGTGAGCGCCAAGTGAGGCCCGTTTGACGGTGACGGGGAGGGACAGCAAACTGTTGAAGCTAAGGCACCCAGCCAGCGCTTTAGGGGGCGGGTCTGCCGGCTGTCTGGCTATGGGTGCGTGCGAGATAGGCAATTACACTGGAACCTCGCGCCAACACGGCGGCTGTAGGCCACTGCGACCGCCCGCCTCTGGGTAGGTACAGGGCATCCATAATACGGCGTGGCCATGTTGGTGCTGAAGCCGACCCATTAGCCATCAATGGTGGGGCAGCAAGTCCCATGCACCGCCATTGGCCGTGCTGAGTGTCCTTCTGGATGGTTTCCGTCTTCTTTGCTTCTGCCCCCAAATGAAGAGATGCCTGGCTGTCATGCTTCGCACACCTGAAGCAAGCTGCCTTGTGGCTGCGAGCGTACTAATAAGGCAATAAGACCTGGCTGCGACCACATGTGCGTGTTGCAGCTCTCGCACCTGCTCCTAGCACTGCTGCGGGGTTGGTGTTGCTCTCTAAGCCAGGGACCGACTGGGCTACCGCTCTGGGTACTCCGTGGGAGGCATGTGCAACTCGCCCATGAGCATGAGGCCAGTAAGGATGAGCTGGAGAATACCTTAGTCCCTGCAGTCTGGCAGGCAGCTGCTGGGCCATGCCTCCCCCATCTACGTAGGCCTGCTGCTCCGTACACACATTGATGCGTCACTGCAAAAGGACTGGCAGGGCCGCTAACAGTTGGCCTAGTACCCCGGCTGGCTTCTGCCCGAGCCGAGACCAAGTGCCCACAAATTATAGAGCCCTGGCCCTGCTCCAGGGAAATGTTGATCATGTCATATTGGCCTTTCCTGCTGATTGGTACTGCGACCCTATTATGTACGTACGTTGAGCCGATATATAGCAGCTCAATAATCCAACTGCGCTGCTTGGTCGGCGCCTAGGAAAGCGAGAGCCAACGTTTGCCGCCGCTTATCACCGTCTCGGAACTGGGCTAACTTCGCTTCGTCATGGAGTGTGACGAGGTGGGAGCCAGTGGTGATTGGGCTGCGCATGGAGATTTTCTTCTCAGGCAGGCGCTTAACAAAAGTTGGCCGTGACATCTTGTGAGTGTGCAAACTCTGCCCTCACGTCAAGGCAAAATTGCGCACCAGACACACAACATGGAAACATGGGTGGCCGATGTCTTGCGGTTCTGCATTGCACATGTTCCCTCAATAAACACACGGGCGGGCCAGGCTGGGCTAGGCTGTGTTCCATGTCTCGCTCTCACCTTGAAGCAGTTCCCAGCCCCAGTCCAGTCCTTGGCCTGTTCATGCTACCTATTGCTAAGATACCCCGCCAGATTCACGTGCTGTCATACTCGCGCCCTGCCCATTCAGTCGGGTTTGTATCGGGGGATCCGTGTCTCATTAAAAAAGTAAGAAACATCAATGCTGTCCTCTTCTGCCCGCCTCACTTATGGTCGAGCCTAGACTCACCACCGGGTACGAGCGTCTTCTGGCATACGTAAGGCATGGAGGCATGCATTCTCGCAACAGCTGAGCCTCTAAGCCGCCGCCACGAACTGCGGCTGTGTCGTCACACAATGTGGGAACAAAAAGGCTCGACTCGACCGAGAACCCAACACCCCACGTAAGAGTTGGCTGCGTCGTGTGCGAGGGCCTCATCCATTTATGCATGTAGTCGCTCCATCCGGTTTCAGCCGTGACCCATCTCGCCAGGCTTTTTTCTTCATGGTGGAGATGAGGCACACGCGCGGATGTGTGTGTGTGCTCCCGTCCCTTCCGTTCCATCTGATCTCGAAGCATGACTCTTCTTCATTCTGCCCAAGAAAATTCCTGGTAAACCGCCTGCTTCATGGGCACCCTACGGCTGTTGGTTCCCCAGGAAGCCCTGATTTAGATGCTGAGCAGCTATTAGGGGTAGAATAGTCTATTTGTTTATTGACCATGAGACTAAGAGATATGAGATATTATATATTAGATATACTTAAGGGCTATGAAAAAAAAAAGGATGATTCTTAAAGATGTCCGAACCACTCCAGCTATGGACTCTCTATACAGTAGCTGCCCGATCCCCCCACACATTATAGCTCATCCACCACCACCTCGGAGCTCCCTATCGGACCACGGCCCCAGTTTGTAGGATCACCTCCTGGTATACATAGGCCAAGTCTCCAGAAATAATCTCGATGGGCGAAAAATAGTTCCCATAACTTATATCGTGAATAAGGGTCGCTGTCTGCAATACAATTGGTATCGTCGTCTCCATGGCAGTGGCGCACATCTCTTTCTGCGGGTGAGAGGCTCGCTTTGGATATGAATATCTCCCCGGCATGGGAGCTGTAGCCCCATTCTGTCAGTGGGAGAAGCGGGACAGGATCGTTCGCGTGGGTGACTCGTCGATACGGCCGATGATCCGGTTGGGCATCTCCATCCAAGTCGAATACGGAGTCGATGAACTTTGCAAACTGGCCGTTGCCGACCCGAGGTTCTCCAAACGTGGTGACGACCAGATTGTCCCATCCAAATGCCAACTTCAACTCGAGTGCCGCAAGACATGCCAAAGCACCCCCGAGGCTATGCCCGACGAGATGAATGGGCGAGTTTGGGTATTTCTCCCGTAGTTTGAGAAGTTGAGGCACAACCACCGTCCTCGTAGTCTCCCATGAACTCATGAAACCCATATGAACCGTACAGTTCGTACAGACAGGGTGAGGCTTGTCAGTGCCATTCTCGGGGGATGGATAGGGAACGTATTCCTGCGGCACCGTACTCAGGTCAACGACTGTGTTGGTGATACTGTAGGTTCCACGGAAAGCAACCATGATAGTATGATTGGCATCTGCAATGTCATCACTTCCCTCCGCAGGACGTTCGGCACCGTGATCAACAGCGATATAACCGCAACTGTCACTCATGAGAACACCGGTATTCCATGCTGTGACAAGAGAGAAGGTAGGGAATTCATCGCATCGAGAAATGCAGTTGAACGGCTCGCCGAGACCGGAATTTCCAATACAGTAGCTTATATCAACGACCCTTGATAGGCGCTCGAGCTCGGAGAAGAGCGCGGGGGATATGGTCGGATTTGAGAACGGCTGTTGCGACACAGTATGCCGATCCCCAGATGGAATATTCAACGAAAGCCCAGCTTTCGCCAAACTGAGGAGCGACAGTACCAAAACGCCGACGCCTTTCAGTGCCATCATTGCGGTTGAGGGGCATCAATTAAAAGCGATTGAAGTTTTAGTAGGTATCGTCCGAATGCATTGTGGTGCGTTAAGCACAGTGCTGTCCAATTACGGAGAGGTGATTGAAATCCAGGAGACGGCCAGACTATCCCTCATGTTTCACACATGACGCACCCGGCAGCTGTTGGACGAGCCTTGACAAGGAGGTGGTTGGGTGAGAAAGGGTAGTAGTGAGGTCTTGTGGTCATCATTTGTTGGGGTAGAAGCCAGCTACGTCTGGGGTGGCGGAGGTATGTGGTCACGGGGTAGGCCGATCAGGAATACAAGCATCGAGTTCTCTCCATCATATGTAAAGTATCACCACAAATCAGGATGAAAGTAATACATGCCCTCTATGACTTCCTATATAATAAAAAATGAAGCTATCGAAGCAAGAACACTACTGTGATGAGCTCATATGGCGGATGATTAGATGATTACCTCCGATAAGCGGCAGATAAGAAGTAACTCCACAACCAGAGAGGCATCGGTCCGGTCCAGCGAGAGTGGACCTCCTCCAACCACACAGAAAATTCGCTTACCCTTTGGCACGTGACCCACAAACTGCCAGCGAAAATTCCGCCCTCCCTCCCCACTAGTAATTGGGAAATTTCGAGATTTCTCTTTCCGAATACTGCGACTATCACGACTAACCACCCAGCACATCACCAACCCGCCCATCAACCGACAAAGATGGCCAAGGAAGCCCCCGTCAAGACCGGTCTGACCGTTGGTCTGAACCGCGGCCACGTACGTGTCATCGAAGTCTCACCTCGTGGAGGATCTCTGCTGCTCCGCGAGCTCGTCGACGCCCCAACGCAAGCAGAAGATGGACGCTGACATGTATGGTTTGTTACACCTTTATAGAAGACCACCGCTCGCGTTGTGAAGCCCCGTATCTCCCGCAGCAAGGGTCACCTGAGCAAGCGCACCGCTTTCGTCCGTGAGGTCGTCAAGGAGGTTGCTGGGTGAGTTTTTCCAATTCCCCCCTCTCGAAAGATTTCACTTTGCAATGGCTTGGTTGGATGGAGGCACTGGATGCAATTGGCAGAAGACGACTTGGAATCGGTTTTCACGGGTGTCAATGCTGCTCCAATGGTCTCGCCGAATGGCCGTCGCAAGGAAATTTTACTTGGAGATGAACCTTAACTAACAAAAGACTCTTTTTCTCTTAGCCTTGCCCCCTACGAGCGCCGCGTTATCGAACTCCTCCGCAACAGCAAGGACAAGCGTGCCCGTAAGCTCGCCAAGAAGAGGGTGCGTAACTCGGTTCCGAATATTATTCTGTATGAAGTCGAGGTAAACTAACAATCGGATCAGCTCGGTACCTTCGGCCGTGCCAAGAGAAAGGTCGACGAGCTCCAGCGTGTCATCGCTGAGTCCCGCCGCACAGCTCACTAAGTGCTTGAATCTCGAAAGTGAAAAATTATTTGGGTTTCGCATGGGTTGGCGCGTGGTCATGGTTGACTCGATTCAAAAGAAAGGCTTTGATACAATTTTGCTGCAGGGCTTGGCTGTGGCTAGG